GAAGAAACCGAAGGTGAAGTCGATGCCGTTGTAGTCGTTGTCGATCGTCTTAGGCAAGTGAACGACCGGCATCTTCTTGCTACCTTCCGGTAGCGTGTCTTGGAACATCTTGAACTTGTTGGCGGTCTTCAGCGTGTCGTCGCCACCGATCGAGATCAGCGCGTCGACGCCCAGCGAGTTCAACGCGTCGTAAGTGGTCTGAAACGCGGAGCAGCGTTCCTTGTCCTTCAAGTGATCAGGGTGCGAGATCGCTTTGCCAGGGTTGGCTCGTGCGGTACCGATCATAATCCCTTGCTTGGCACGGCTGCGGCTGAGGGCTTTATGATCGAGGACGATGTAGTCGCGATCTTCTTCCATCGGACGGTCGTCGCCAAACTGCATCAAGTTCGAGTAGCCGTTCATGACGCCCAGCACTTCGATTCCCGCACGCAGAAACGAGACGGCCGCGGTCGAGATCACCGCATTCGCGGCTGGTGCAGGACCGCCGGAAAACAGAATTGCGACGCGCTTGAAGTTGTGGGCAGGCTGTTCAGGACGAGAGAGGCTATTGGCCATGGTCAAAATCCAATGGGTAATCTGATGCGGTAACTTGTCTGAACCGCTGATTTTATGCGTTACGGGGCGGTTTTCAACCTAACCAAACGGTCCACCCCCGAGGCAACTTGCCCATCGAAATGCAGTGGGGAGATAGAAAGCAGTACCCCTGTGGTAACGGATCAATCCTTGGCGTTGCCGTGAGAATCGTCGGGCTTTTGGGCAATTCCGTAACCAGGAAATCATCCAAACGCGAAATCGATTCCCGCCCTTCCAAGGGGCAGCGAGTGGTTCAAATTACGCATCTCGATTTGTTGCTGCTTCCACCCCGTTTGCCGTTGTTATGCCAAGCTTTTTGGGGGCATGATAGATCACGATATCCGCTTGATATCTCGGCATTGTTGCTTGCATGCTGGGCACGTGAAACGTGCAAAATCCCACGTATAGGGAGAAGGCAAAATAGTGATTTTTAAGCATCAAAAAAACTAGTTATTCGAGTTGGCGTCGAGAACGTACGGGTTTTTATTCAATTCCTGAATGACTCTGCGGAGAGGCACACCAGCGAATGGCACATCCGCTGCTTTAAGTGGGGGTGTCTTAATTCTTCGTTGGATCGGTGGGCACGAAGTGTTCACGTCATTATCGCATTTCTCAGGAGTCCATGAATGCAGTTTTCGAGTTCTCAGAAACGTGGCTTCACGCTTGTCGAACTGTTGGTGGTGATTGCCATCATCGG